GGCGACGTGGGTCTGGCGGCGGCGGCTGGTCGATCCCCCCAGATCCAATCGGGGGCAGAGGGGAGAGGTGGATCGAGGGAGTGGGGGGGGGGAAGTGGGGCGACCGGTGGGTTAGGGTTTCGGTCGGGTACGGGGGAAATAGGCCAGGGGTATTGGGGTGGGCCGGCTGACTGCTAGGTGGGCCGAGAGGCCCAGGGAGAGGGGGGTTCTATTTTATTTTAATTTAGTTATTACTGTTTTCTATTTTCTATTTTATTTCATTTCTTCTTTTTTTTATTAAATTTATGTTTTTATGAAATACCCAAGTTGTACCTAAAATATTATTAATACCTATGCCACTACCACAACTATCTTGGAACCTAATATAAAATCGTTTGTAATTGTTTATTATTTGATAATCATTTAACTAATTGTTTTTGCTACTATTTTATTCATTTTGAGTATTTGCATATTTTATACAAGTGTGGTTTCTCCACCTTTATTATTTAGAATTTATCTGTCTCAGCTTGAACATTTTAGTTTTAATGTTTCAAAACTTTTGACTTGATGTTTGTCTATATTTTAAATTTGAATTTGAATCGGTTCCGAACTAACACGAGATTAGCGATAGTAATCGAAGTGACGTGGCATCATTAGCAGGGAATTACTGTAGCTAAATATCCGGGCGTCACACAGGTGGGCTGGCTATAAATGAACTTGACTAGAGCCCTAGAGCAAGCAGCAATTCCATAGCTCCAGTGCAGGGTAGTATCTGAATAGATAGTTCTGTTTCAGCCGGTTCTTTTCTGGAAAGGTGCTTGTCAGGCACTGAAAGTGAGAGTTGGAGGAAAACAAACAGATGGCCAACTAATCGTGGTCGCCGATCAGCTTGTTTTCCTCCAATATCTCACCTTCGGTTGACTGATTGATTGCCTGCCTGCAGCCTAGAGACAAGGAACAGATTGGGTTACAAACAGCTACGAACATGTATGCACCGCTCAATGCGAGGATTAGAGGGAACTGAACCATCCATTGGAAACATGGAGTGATGGTTCAGTTTCTTCTAATATCTCACCTTGACTGGTCCATCCAGGAAATATGCGATAGACGCACTGCGGCCACCCAAGGTGAGAACTGGAACTGAGGCAGATTAGATATAGACTGGAGTAATAAGTTTCTCAAAAAACAAAAACAGACTTCTTTTGTCACAAAGCATCAAGAAATCACACCTCTAAAAGTGCATTTCACAAAGTCAAGCTTATGTGACAGAATATTTCTCCAGACCACACTTTTGTCAGTCACAACATGGTTTGTAAATATAAATTCTTAAAAGTGTTTTTTTTATAGTATGAGAAGGCATGATTTTGAGGAATTTAATCAATAAACTGCCTTACGATCTAGTTTGTTTTCCTTCCTCCAACATCTTACCTTGGCCGAATTGATTGATCCTGTGTAGCTGACTAGTAACTGTTGGTGAGGCAACGGCTAAAGCGCCAACCTCTAGTGGTCCCTTGCCTCCAACTGATGCAGCCTTGTCAAAGCGTAAAACTTGGACCCTATACTCCACATAGGTCAATCCAATTGGCAGTAGTGGATATAGCAAAAAGGCAGAAAAGACTAGACAGCATTGTTCAATTGAGGTTCTTTAGAATTTGCATGATGCTCTAGGGAGTCACATGACGTTTGTATAATATTCAATGTTTCACTGTTTCATTCTATTAGTGGTCAGTATAATTAGATCAAAGGCACTCTGGTCCAGTGAATACCAACTGTTGGAACTCAAGCTGCAGTTGCTTGATTTGAATCTCAACTATAGCCAACCCGTGGAAGTGAACAAAGTTGTACAATCACCAAAAACTAGCCATGGAGAATTTCGAAGGACAGAAGCAAGGCTACTGATTTTTGTTGCGACTAGTGATAGAACATAATCATCACTGATAAGAATGGACAAGTTGGTAGTGTTGGATGACATGCCAACTTTGTGAACACCTGGTGGCAGATTGAGTCCTCTGGATATGTCAGATCGATCTAAGGATATTCTACCCTGGAAATGTCCTACTTATCATCTGGCACATCGTCAGAGCTACTGATCTCAGACCACTCATCAGAAGAACAGTCACTTGATGTTTCTTCTTTTTCACCATGCTCGTTCTTTCCTGGCACACTCTCACTTGAGGCTTCTTCCTGCTCAACATTCTCATTCTTCACTGCTGCATTCTCTAATTGAAGAACTGAAGGGAATGCCTTGTGCATATTATCCTGTATGCTTTCATCATGGTCTTTCCCCCTCCAAACAATAATTTGCTCCTTGTCAAAAGACACAAGAATACAAGGAACAAGGTCCTACACCAAAAAAGGAGGAGAGAGAAATGCATCCTGTTACAGGTCATCTTCAGATCAAATAAACATTTTTACTATTTATTTTGGTGTGTATAAGGCTATATGAGAAACTCACCCTGAGCTTGACTCCAATCTTCCGATAATCACTCTTTGGCAATCCTTTACAATCTATACGAACCAATTCATCGGCCAGAAAACCATCTCGAACCATCGACACAAGGCTAGCATAATACCCATTCTTTGCTGTGAAATGGGTATGGTTGGTTAGTTAGGCATATTTTTAACACATACCTGTATATGATACTATGTCTAAACAAAAAGGGGAGACAAGGATTACCAAGCTTTGTCAAGACAGGAGCATGTAGGCCCTTCTTCCTCATTTCCTTTGTCTCCTGAACTGTCAGACCTTCTATTGTTGTTTTAATTAGCCTTGGGTAGATCGGTTCAGCTGGCTTCCATAACATCAACGGAATAACAGGTCTTTTCTTTGGATGATAATGCCTCCCTCTGTACAGTATTAACTGGCCACCATGCCTGTGGATGATAAGGCCACCAGTTTTATCCTGGGAAAAAGGTAGCATTACTCAGGCTTCTACAGGAGAGTAATATCAGATCCAGTGACATCAAATAAGAGCTCCGAAGATGTTCATCCATATATTACTTGATAAACTCCATCGAAGCAAAGTGGTAGTGTTCATGTTCTTAGAGACAGGAGAGACGAAGCTACCTCGAGCTCATGGCACACATTTTGCATATCAACCGTCGGCACACCAAGGCATTTCACCCTGACCGCCTCGCCATGCTTCCAGTGGTTGTGAATGTCATTCAGCATGTTATGAGTGAGCCCATCTCGCCCTAGAGAAACATCAGCTGTCATCATCTGTATCGCAGCTCTTCTAAATGCACAATTAATTCATTACTACTACCGCTTGGAGTAGTATTGTTCTAACAACCCAAAGACCAAATTTACCGAGATTGATCTGCCTCTTGGTGCGGTTCTTCTGGCATTTGTCGACCAAGAAGGAGCGCTCCGCGGGTGTGAGCGGCTCGCCAAGCACGCGCTCTCGCTCACGCCGGCGGGCCTCCTCCAGGTCCTTCTCGGCGGCGGGGGCAGGGTCCTCGGCGTCGACGCTCCGGAGCGTGGTGTCGACGGCGGGCGCGCACAGGCCGGTCCAGGGGCGGTCGAGGCGACCGGGGCCGAACGGGGAGTACTTGGGCTCGCGGAGCCCGATGGGCTTGGCGTCCGGGGAGCTCTCCGTGTAGCTGAAGCGGAAATCGAAGGGGAGGTCGGAGTGGGAGGCCGGGCGGTCTCCGCGGTCCAGCGAAGACGGCGGCCGGTAGGGGGGCTTCTTGATCCGACGCTTCTGGTCGGCGGCGGCGCCTGTGCCGTGGGAGATCTCTTTCGCGGTGGAGGTCAGGGAGGCAGGCGGCACGAAGCCGTAGCGGTCTAGGAGGCGGGAGAGGTGGCGGCGGGGAGGGTAGCACGGCCGCAGCAGGTGGGCGCGGCGGAGGAGGCTGGGGAGGAGCATGGAGCGGCGGAGCAGAGTGGCCAATGGCGACCGTGGGTCGAAGGGGGCAAAACCCTCGTGTTCGTGGGTTTTTTGGGAAGAAAGACTAGTTTTCCATTCGAAAATTTACAAGGAAAACGAGGACGTGATCGATCTCTTTGGGAAATGGATTTCAAGTTGATTTTTGATTTACATCCCTATGAGCACTGTGTTCAAAAAAAGTTGATTTTTGATTTGAACTCTCGTGTTTGTGAGTCTTTTGTTTGTTTTCTCTATAAAAATCTAATACTTCCTTTATCCCATAAGGTAAGACGTTTTTTGACACGTTAAAAAGTATATGTTAGAGTAGTTCTAGCAGAAATAAACACAATCATTTCATTTGATTTAAAATTACCTACGCATATAACAAAGTCAAATACCACAATACAAAGTGGGGAGTAACTTGAAGCACAAATTTAGAGGAAAGAGAAAATAGGACACAAATCAAATTATAGGCTTAGTTTGTCTAAAAAATCATAGGGATAGTGGGTTTTCAAGATCTCTTTGGATTGAAGGATTTTCGTAGGTTGAAGGATTTCAATCCTAATGAATTTGTTGTATCAGAGCCTTTTGAAAAGTCCAGTGCACCTTTAGCCTCTCTCTCCCTCTCCATTCTCTCTCCTCAATCCTCTAGAATTCAAGAAGATTAAACATTTTGTCTTCAAATTCTCTGGCAGGTAACAGTTTTTTACCCAAACTCGAGAAACACTACAATACGGTCGCTATACATGAAAATACATAACATCTATGGCCCATTATATGGTCTCCTCGATGGTCGATCGCTCTGG